GTCTGCACGGGCTGCTCTCGCTCCGCGAGCAGGGACATCCCCGCGCGGCAGTTTCCCGTGGGGTAGTGAGCTGAGTAACTGACGCTCTCGCGGAGGTCTGGCTCACCCTGCTGTGTTTGTGGGGGTTCAGGAGCGGTTTGTTGGTGCCGTTTTCCCTTCGGGGTGCTCACGGTGCTGACCGGAGTGGTGTTAGCTCACACGGCGCTCCTCGCCCCGTGCTGACAAAACAGCGTGCCGGGCACCGGGCGGGCAGTTCGGGGCTGAGGATTCCACCCCGGGCGCCACACCGGGCGGGGCTGTGTGAGCGGCAGCGCTGGTATGGAGCATCCTCTGTGCAGCGTGTCAGGTGCTTCCATGGGAGGAGCTGCGAGGCACAGCGTGTGATTGATGATGGCTTAGAAAGTGCTCATTTGAGACAGAGAAGGTGAAGAAAAGTTGGGGTGTTTTTTTTCAAAATTTAGAAACTTACAAAAATCTCAGGAAGGCTAACGATGCTCTGGTTTCAGCTAGGGAGCAGGGTGTCTGAGATGTGCCCTAGTGATTTGCTTTATAGCCTCTTTTGAGTTTTTTTCAGGAGAGGAGGTTGAGTCTGCAAGGGAAATGTGAAAATGAGGCTTGGGAATATCTCTTTGTCCATATTCTTTTGTTCATGAAGTATTTTCTTAGATACTCAAATGTTTCTCAGCGCCTTTCTTGAACAATATTTGAAAGTATCTTTCTTAAACATATATGCTTGAATTTTGAAGAATTAAGGTTTTCTTTTTAGTCTAGTCTAGGAGCTGGAATTCAGTGATCCTTGTGGGTCTTTTCCAACTCAGGATGTTCTGTGGTTAATCCTATGTATGTTTGTTTGGCATTGCTTTTATTTTTAGGGTAAACTGAAAAGCTCAGGGTAACTGATCTCTAGCTGCCCTGATGCTCTCATCTGGGGTCGAGTCTCTCCTTGATTCATCTGTGTCTGCTGTGATGGAGGAGCTGTACACTGGACTGCCGGAGAGCATCTCCGCAGAGCTCATGGCTGTGCCGGATCCCAACATTGGATTGGATGGACAAGCCGATGGGTCACTGTCTGTGCTGGCACACAGGGACACTCTGTCAGCTGTGCATCCATGGACTTCTGGAGTAGGAAACTTGTGCCAGCAGACAGAGGCTTTGGGTGATATGCTCGAGATGATTTCTTATGGGCCAGCAGAATCCCCTCCTGAAGAATTACTACAGGCTGGAGGCCTTGAAGAGGATGAAGAAAACAGGATAAGGAACTTTAGGACCGTAATCTGTTCCAGTAACAGATACCAGAGAGAAGATGAAGATGGACTTCTGGAGTAGGAAACTTGTGCCAGCAGACAGAGGCTTTGGGTGATATGCTCGAGATGATTTCTTATGGGCCAGCAGAATCCCCTCCTGAAGAATTACTACAGGCTGGAGGCCTTGAAGAGGATGAAGAAAACAGGATAAGGAACTTTAGGACCGTAATCTGTTCCAGTAACAGATACCAGAGAGAAGATGAAGAAAGGTGCTTTGCTGAATGCTACACTTTCACTCCGGTGGCAAGTTGGTCAAAACAAGTAAGAGAATGCAAGAATAAATCCCTGTATCATATTTTGAATTTAGGGGTAGTGACTAGGCAGAGAGTTTTACCATGGGCTTTCCTGGGAGTTTTTCTCTATCTTCTGGTATGTGTGTCACTGTTTGTATTTTCATGGGTCCAGTGAAAAATTAGGCTATTCTTTGGAAGACCATTAGTGTTTTAAATACCAAGGTCCTCACTTTGGTGAGTAGTGTTGTAATGGTGTGAGGCAGGTATGGAATAGAGCAAAGGGTGAAACTGACTGGTGGCTAAAAAGGAGAAGGAGAAACAATTAAAAAGCTCCTTGTTCAGTATACATTTTCTGTGGGTACAGCATATTCTGCTGGCACTGTCATCCCCAGCCAAGAAACTAGCCACAAAATGATAGTTATTTCAGGCTGGTGTTGGAATTATAATGTACAGGTGGCTGCAGTTTAGTATTTCAGGTTTTAATCTTAAAAAAAAAGCAGTTTTTAAAATTATTTAGAATATAAGTTTAGAATTATTATTAGGAATAGTAGAGAGTAAATGACTGATTTTTTCAGAACAAGGGAATTGGTTATGGCTTTTATTCTTCTTCCCTTTAGCAAACACTGATGATAAAAATGTTATTTCTGGGCAAAGGCTGCTGAAAAATATGCCAAAGAATGTTCTATTAAAAACTGAAGCATCACAAAACTCTATATAAAACTTGAGATTTTTAGTGTCTGGATCAGTTTTCCTTAGCTTGTAAAGAGTTTTCACACACACCAGAGCACACAGGGGAGAAGAAAGGTGTTGTGACTGAACACATAGCAGCCTGGCTAAGGTGCACAGGTGCATGGGTCACACTAATTCCTGGGTGTGGTGTAGTGCTGAAATAATTTCTGGGTTTAATTCAGAATTTTGATACTCTTTTGTTTTATTTGCAAGCTTGTGAAAATACAGTTGATTAAATTTTCCATAGTCATTTCCAAGATGAAATTTCAGGTTTTGTGGAATGCAGGTGGTTTGATACTGGGGCCTTGGTTTGGGTCTTTTGTTTGCAAGTAGACCTAGGTCATCTGTTCCTGGGTGTTTGGTTTTGAGCCAAGGGAAGGAGAGGTAGAAGGCAGGGAGCCAAAGAGGGTCTCTTTGTTAGGAATTGCCATGATGGGACATGGGGTAAAGGATTCAAACTGAAGGAGAGGAAGTTTAGGTTAGATATTAGAAAAAGGTTTTTTACTCTAAGGGTAGTGAGACACTGGCACAGGTTGCCCAGGGATGTGGTGGCTGCCCTGACCCTGGTGGTGTTCAAGGCCAGGCTGGATGAGGCCTTGAGCATCCTGATCTAGTGAGGAGGTGTCCCTGCCCAGGGCAGGGGTTTGGGACTAGATGATCTGTAAGGTCCATTCCAACCATTAAATTCTATGACTCTAAGGCAGATTCTTAAACAGATAGAAAATGCACGCATCTTACCAAAAATGTGTGGTAATGGTTGGGGATTTGAGCTAGACTTGGAGACTGGATTACTCTTCTCGTTTAAATTTGCACCAATATACATTTTAAGCCACTAATGTTTTAGCTGCTTGTGTCACAAGACTCCATTGCTGCTAAATGCAGATCTGTTGTGGCTGCATCGTTGTTTCATGGTGTGATAGTGGGGATTGAAGGGATAAGAAAGGATGGCAGGTGCTTGTGTGGAGCACTTGCAATGCAAGGCCAATGTGTCCAGATGTTTCTTAGTCAATTCCATGTTCAGGACCAACCCAGCTGAGCAGGTGCAGCCCCTAAAACACAAAGCATTTCAGCAAATCCATGCATCTCCACTGATATTTCTGTCTTGTTTCAGGAGGACTTAAACCAGCATGAGGTGGAGTCTTCAAGAGCCTGTTGCTTTGAAATTTTGGGATCTCTGAGGAACACAGGTAGATATTTCAGTTGAACATCCCTATCTACCCCTTGCTTCTCTCCCAGCTACTTGTTCTTGATGTAAGATGATAAGGGATGGAGGGATAGCTCATTTATTTTGTTTTGCAGTGGAAACTATTCCTCTGCATAGCTGTATCAATCCCAAAACTTAATGCTTTGCTTTTTCCTGGCAGCATGTGTACTTGCCTGAAGACCTTTCCTGTACAAGTTGTATTTTAGTTGACTCAAATACTTACTTACCCCAAAGCAGAAGGGGTTGTCAGTAGCAGATGTTTTGCATTTCGTTTCAAAGCTGGATTGTATGAGAGTAGTAATGACAAATGTAAGGAAAAATATTACTCGTTTTTGAGTGCTTTAAGAAATAGAAATGTAGGATCCAAAGGAAGAAGGCAACAAAACTGATTCTTAATTTCATTCTGATCCTCCATAATCTTCCAGCTCCAAATACTTTGGTCACTTTGCCTGCACCTAGTAATGATTTGCTTTCTTGCTCCCTGCTTTCTTAACCTGAACTTGTCGACGAATGCCAAAGTCTTGGTCCTTACAAGAAAATAGGAAAAAGATCTGCAGAGCTCTGAGCAAATATGTTCCCTGTAAAATTCTGAATATGAAGATATTCTACAGTAACTGTAATTTTTTAATTAGCACCTTCTTTGTGATTTTTCAAAAGAAGTCTATTGATAATCTGAATTGCCTGGGCAGCTGAGATATGCTTTGTCTTCCTATGGAGGAGTTACTGACAGAAATGTCAAGAAGAAATGGAAGTGGCCACTCAGTGCACAGCCATATTTCCAGGCTGGAGCAGATCAAGTACTCAGCTATGATGAGTTTTGATGTTACAAACAAGCATTATGATGTGGCCATGGCTTCCTGTGTGTTGAGTTGTAGGATTTGCATTGCACCTAGCTGGATGTTAGAGGAATCTGAAATATACAGGTCTTGGAGTGTCTGCTGCTCATGGGCCATGTCTGTATTGAAAAGGATTGTGTTTGTTAGCTTAGGTTTGTGGTGGAGTAGTTTGGTTTTTCTTCTAAAGGCTTGTACTAAAACTGTTTTCATCAGTTCTCCCTTGTAAAAGCATTTTGATAAGCAGCAGTACCAGCACACATGAAATGTTGGGGCCTAAACAATAAGCCCAAGCCAGAGTTGACTTATGGATGAATCCTGTATTCCTTGTGAACAGTGCTTCTTTGTGTTAGTTAATTAGACTACTTAATGTAGAACATAGATGCAGATAACCTTTGCCTAGGCTGTATATCTGTCATGGGCCATGCTGTCTGGAAGATATCTTACAGATGTCCCTTGTCTAGGCTATATATCTGCCCAAGGCCATGGTGCCTTCTGCAAAATATCTTAGAGATAAGTTGGGTACTGGTTTTATAATTGCCCATGAAGGATTGCCAAGATCATGCCCTGTCTTAGGAAACCCCACCACCTCCTGGGCTCTGGCCAAGCCCCAGCTGTGGTTGGTTGGAGGGGAGTACCACCAGGTGTTATTTGCACAAACAATAAGAAACTGCAAGTTATTTTTTGCTTGTTAATTTGGCCTATAAAAGCTGGACCATCTTGCAGCGACTTGGGACACCTCACCTACGAGTGGACACACTGTGTAGGACCTCCCAGTCCCAGAAAGGCTCTCCAAACCCTCACTGCAACCAGGGGCTCCCCAGTGACTGTGGGTCTGGTTGGTGATAAAGTATTAGTGCAATGGGTGGTGTGTCTTTCTTAGTCACTGTTCTTTCCTGTATGTAGTAATGATTAGGTGCATTACCTTTCTTATTGTCTTTGTTGTTTCTGCTGTTTGTATTAGAGCTTTCTCAACTAACCTTATGTAAATATATTATTCTATTATCTTAAAACATCAGTAGTAAAATAACCCTATTCTTTTTGTTGGTGTCTGGGTCATTTTTGTTGCCCCCATCAGTTGGCAGAACAACACAGTATTGTGTATATAGGAAGCTGAATGCCTTCCAGATTGAGTGTATGGTTCTGATGTGCTTTATTTTTTTTCCTATGCAGAAGAAAACCAAGCAAATGTTCAGGTGACAGCTGAAACTCTGCCAAAGCTCACTGAAGAAGTAGTACAAGGTATGAAGGCTGATGGGACTAGGATATTTGGTAAAGCAGGATACAGAAATGACAGAGTGAGTAAAGGTCTTCCACCTGAGAGCAGTCAATGCCCAGACACAGACACAGTCGCGGCCAGAGCTGGGGTTTCAGAATCCAGCATCTTAGGTTTTTTAGAGCCTTTAAAAGTCATGGACATTGGAGCAGCCAGAGACCACCCTCAAGAAATAAATGACTATAATGGGCTGAAAGCCCATACTGCCATGCCAGTGAGAACAGGGGGAAATGGTCTGTCTGTTTGGGAGACTAGAGAAGAAAAGTTACCCAGACGAAATCCTCTTAATGAATTCAGTACGTCACTTGTTAATTGCCAGACTTGTCAGCAGGATGAAGAAAACAATGCTCATGACTTCTGTAACCTTCCCATACCTAAACAAAATGAACCTTATAGGTTGTCCTCAGTAGAAAGCTGTAGAACACTCTCCATACCAAGTTCTGAAATTTTTTGTCCAGTTCTGAAAAGCAGCTATTTTCTGGACTTTAGAAATATGCCACTGGGAAACAGTAGTACTGCAGTCTATGGAGTTAACAATGAAACCCCCCAAAAGCCCTTTCCCCAAAACATGGAACATCACATTCCTTACGATCATGGAACTCGGTTTGTGGAAAATCGAAGCTTCACATCTGTGCCAGCAGAGCAGATCTCAGTGGTGAGGGACAAAGGATTATCTACTGCTAGAACTGATCCTAGGGGATTCAGTGCTAGTATAGGTAAATCATATAGCTCTGATTTTGAAGAGGCTGCTGAAGTCTGGAGAAAAATCACTGTTGGATATAAGACTGAAGTTTGTAACCAGCCTGAAGCTCAAGAGGCTGCTAGATCTGAGCATTGTCATTATTCAGTTTTCAGTTCTGTTGCTTCATCTTCTGAGGAGTTCTCAAAAGAAAAATTTACAGTTATCCCATCAGAAGGTAATAAGCTGAAAAAGGACCAGTGGCAGTTCTCTGTCAGTGACCTATGCAAGGATGATGTAAAAGAAAATAGTCTGCTGATGGAAATGAGCAGCATTGCTTCCCATGAAACTGGACAGAGAGACATATACTTTTATAATACCTCCAGTAAAATTCTTCCTCCCAGTAACCACAGCTGTCTTCATCTTAGTACCAAGCTAGATAAAGATTCACACAAGACACAACTGCTTGAAAAGGAATCTGAGAGCAATACAGCATCAGCAGAGTTGGCTGGTCCTTTAGTTGAGGCTGCAGAAGCTGATGGTAGTGACACTTTGTCCACTGGGAAAACAACTAATTTGTCTTATACACTAAATCTAACTCTACCTCCTGTTTTACAAAAATCAAGACAACATCATTATAATGAGTGTCCTCCTTGTACTGCTTATGAATTTTCAAGCAAGGACAAGGCTCAGGATAATCTGTCTGGAAAAAAATCCGTTGGTACTTCTGGAACAACAGGAGAACAAATTGCTGAAGTTTTGCTTCATAGAGACAAATTGAAGACTTCAGTAAGTTCCAGGGCTTTTGATAACCCTAATATGACAAGCAAAGTATTCCAAAGGAACATGAAATCTTCTGTAGGAAGTAGAGACAGAGTGGTCACTGGTTTAGAAAATGAACATCATGACACATGGAATTGTAATAGTCAAATTATGGAAGACCAGTGTGCAGCTGCCAGTACTTCCTGGAGTTTATCAAGGGGCACATGTGTTTTTCTCCCAAACAGTCAATCTTTTGATGTCGAGTTTGATAAGAAGATTCAAGCTACCTGCCTAAGAGATGAGATTTCAAATAAAAATATGGAGGTGGTGCAACAATGGGATCTTGGTAAAGTAACAGGCAGTAAAATTGTTTGTGACAGAGATAAGGCAAAAACACCAATTGGCACTTGGGCTTCCCAGACGGATGACTGTGACAAAACAAGGACTGTGGATTCTCACAACATTCCTGAATGCCATCAGAGAAATAAGACTAGTGAAGAGCTATTAGTCAGATATCTGAATAAAAACACCTGTGTTGATAATTTCGGATTTTACAACTTTCCATTAGACCCACAGAAGAGAGAACTGGGCACACATGAGGAGGAAGAAGTATCATCACTCACAGCTAATCTCTGCGAGTGCAGTGCTTCAATCTGTGACACATATCCAGCACCTGACAATGTGAATATTCCAAGAGGACATGCTAACCAGACAGGGCAAACCTTGCATCCAGTGGAAAATCAGTGTCATGCATGTCAGAGTGAGTCTGATGGCCCAGTGCCAGGCAGCAGGCAATGTTTAGGAAATTTAACCAACCAGCCAACCACTGGTTTACAAAGTAGGGCTGGGTCTGTGGATGAAACCGAAACTGACTCTAGTGAAGGTGAAGAGATAGTGCTAAAAGTGAGTGATAACCTGCCTGTGTTATTTCATAAATATGCAAAAGACAGTTTTGAAGAAACTCTAAAACAGAATGTAGTGGATTTGGGTGTGAGAGATGAAAGCTGTTCAGGATACGTGGGCTCCATCAGGAATCTCATTGAAGGGAAGACAATCAAACTAAAAGAACATGAGGAATGTGAAAGAGATGATACAGGAATTCTTGAAGAAAGCTCTTCTGATAGGCAGCCTCATTGCTTACAGCATGCTTGTTTTATTGAGTGTGCAGAAGAGAAAGCAGAGCTGGTGTGTGCAGGAAACAAAATGCAGCAATCTTTGCCAAAGATGGAGTTGGTGGAGGACCAGGAAAATACAGTTAGTGCTCAGTTTTTGCCTGTCCCATCCATTCATGGGAGTCTGTCATACAAGCCAGAAAATATAAATGAGCTTTCAGATACAGAAAACGGAGAAGGTCTGAGTGTAAAATCTAATGCTTGCCCACAGTTAACATCTGAGCCTGGTAAAGAAACTGATGCTCACAAGGGGATTGGTCCATTCCATTTTGGACAGTTTGACGTCCAAGAATCTTTTAATAAGACTCAGATGGATTCAGAAGCAGCGTCAGCTTTGAACTCTGGCATCTCTCTGCCTGAGAAAGGAAAGCTGTGCACATCACCTGAGAATACACAAGAAGATAATCATCATTTATCTTCAGACAAAAATTTTAGCAAAGATTCTGACAAAAATTTTAATAAGACTCAGATGGATTCAGAAGCAGCGTCAGCTTTGAACTCTGGCATCTCTCTGCCTGAGAAAGGAAAGCTGTGCACATCACCTGAGAATACACAAGAAGATAATCATCATTTATCTTCAGACAAAAATTTTAGCAAAGATTCTTCAATGACAAAAATTCTTTCTGTAAAAATTTCTGTTAAGAGAAAATCCAGCAGTGTTGAGATTCCCTCCTCGGAGAAGGAGATGGCACCTGGCTTTGTGAATGGTGCCAGAAGCTCAGGAGTTTGTGCCCACAGCAAAGAAAGTCTGAAAGATGTGGGGCACAGCATGCTCACTGTGAAAGACATGGATGTCACCTCACCCAAAGCTTCTCCCCATGAAGAGAAGTTTAAGAATACATATAAGCCAGAAAATATGAATGAACTTTTGGATACAGGAAACAGAGGAAGTCTGAGAATAAACACTCTCTTAAGTAACTCTTGCCCACAGTTTACCTCTGGGCCTGGTAAAGAAACTGATGCTCAAAAGGCTATTGGTTCGTCCCATTTCAGACAGTTGGACGTCAGAGAATATTTTAATAAGACTTGGTCAGATTCAGAAGCAGTGTCAGCTCTGAACTCTGGCATCTCTCTGCCTGAGAAAGGAAAGCTGTGCATGTCACCTGAGAGTGCACAAAGAGATAATTGTTTTTCATCTTCAGACAAAAATTTTGACAAAGATTCTTCAATGACAAAAATTCTTTCTGTAACGATTTCTGTTAAGAGAAAATCCAGCAGTGTTGAGATTCCCTCCTCGGAGAAGGAGATGGCACCTGGCTTTGTGAATGGTGCCAAAAGCTCAGGAGTTTGTGCCCACAGCAGAGAAAGTCTGAAAGATGAGGGGCACAGCATGCTCACTGTGAAAGACATGGATGTCACCTCACCCAAAGCTTCTCCCTGTGAAGAGAAGCTTAAGAATACGTGTGTAGAAGAGAAGATGGGAGAAGTAGCCCCTAGAAAAACATTGCCCAGAGATTGTCTATGGGCCTTGTTAGAAGATTCCAGAGAGTCTGATAAAATAGTCCCCCTCAGTACTGAGAGTTATGGCAAGGTTTTGGAAGAATTCCCAACAATCAACCTAAATAAACTTTCAAAAGAAAGAAAACATGATATAAAGCTCCCAGACTTAGCAGGTACTGCTGTACTTCCAGAAACTGTGTATGATTGTCAAGCTGAAGCTGTGTCTGATGCAAAAGCTTCACCAGAACTGCAGTGTAATACAACACCCACATTTTATCCATCTATGAGTACAGTGTCAGACAGCTGCAAAGAATCATCCCCAGACTGTGTGGTTTGCAGTGAAGCTCGTGCGTCTTACACATTAAATGCACAGAGCAAAGGTAATGTAAAGGAGGTAACAGAAAGTCAGGACTTCGTACCAACCCATGCAATTTGCAAGAAAAATCAGGTACTTAAACAAAAGAAGTATGAAAAGGCAGAAGCACATCTGTCAGACAAGGCACACCAAGAACAGAAGTTAGAACATCATGAGAAAGCAAAAATCACTCTGCAGCCAAGTATGTCGCGCAGTTTTGAACCCTTATGCAGTTCTTCAAATGAGTGGGTGACATCTAGAAATACAAAGTCTGAAGATCCTTCAGAGGAGATTTTTGCTGTCAGGAGCAGTGAAAGTAAACTATGTAGCACTTTACAAGAAGTTAAAAGGCCAAAGATTACCACAGATATTATTAGTTCACAGTTTTTGAAGACTCAGGATTCAGAAATGGAAAACCTGAACCTTAATTTAGGGTATGATGGAATCCCTGGTGCCTTTGGAACTAAAAAAAGAAGAACTAAAGTAAGAGGACCTCTTCCATTAAAAATACAACCTGAGAGGACATGCAAAAAAGCTCCCACATTGCATCAGTTAAAAACAGTAAGAAAAATCAAAAAAATTGAAAGTTTACCTTTCTTTGAGATTCCTCTGAAAATATTCCCTAAGCGGGAAAACACACTTCTTGAATCTTTGTACTCTCCCTGTAAAGCACCGACAGTGGAAACGGCAAGAGCCATGAGATTTGTGCAAATGCCAAGGCAGAGGGCCAAGGGGTGCAGTGTGTTGAACAGCTTGAAATTAAGGAAATGTACCAAAGAGCCAGCATTGCTGAGCAAGTTGTCTGCAATGGCTAGCAAGCTCCTGGCCCCTGCCAAAAGCATCCATAACTTAGAACCTCTGCCATGTTCTTCTGAAATTCTTCCAGCGGGTGACAGGTACAGCCAACGCAGATCAAAGAATCTCTTGGAAGCCTTTTCTTGCATTAACAGGAACGTACACTCACGCTGGGCTGACAGTTGGTGCACCAAGATGTTCAGCTTTCAGCCTTTGGCACTTTATCATGTAGAAACTACCAAAATACCTTTTTCAGACTTGAGCCACAAGCCTCCAACCTCCTTGGACACCCCAGTTTCCCCGATTTCTTTTCACATAAAATTGGAGTCCAGTCCTGTGAGAGACCTCACAGGGTTTGCATCCCAGCACTCTGCACATCACAGACCAGTTTGTAAAGAAATGCCAGCACCAGCTTCAAAGTGGACTTTATCTTTTCTCCTGTCTCAGAGCTGTTTCGATACAACAGCTTCCAAGGAAGATTCCAGTCTAAATAATGAGCTTCATTCCTCTCACTCCAGAAGTACCCAAAGGACTGTTGCTCTTCATCCTGACTTGAGAAGAAGTGCTGTAGCTGAAAGAAGAGGAGGTTGTTCCACACTTGGCCTTCACACAGTGTTAGCACTTTCTTCCCCTGGATGTTACAGGATTTGGACAAGAAGAAGGAACTTAACCAGTCATATTCCTACCATCCAGAGACTATTTATATCCCAATTTGCACAGGGTTTGAAAAGGGCAAGGTGTCCAACTCCTGTATCCGATGACTTCGTCTCCTCATTGCCATACTCACTGGGCAGGGTACTATCCATATGGAGTCAGCATGGTCCTTCTGCCTGCCCTTCTGAAATCACTGCTCTCCATTCCAATCACTGCAAGTGGCAGCCAAGTGGGGGCATCGACAACAGGTAAAACCCATCAACTTATTTCTGAGGTTAAATATGTGCAGAGTATGTACTTGCTCCTTTTTGGGAGGGAGAGGGTAATTGCAGCTTGCATTGAAGGGTCAGTTTCCCCTGTTCCAAATCTACACATTCTGCTCCAAGAATGGCTCAACATGGAAGATCTTTCCTCGGAACAGTCTGTTAGCTGAATTTAAATATATTTGCCTTCACTTCTTTAATACTGTCCTGTTTTGGCAGAATGGCTAACTCTATTTTCTTCTCCCGTGCAAAATATACACACCATGCATCAGAGTATATAATGCAAAAGGTGAGCTACTTCATTAGGTCTATTCAGAGTGACTGCAGAGCAACTGGATTTCGGAGGTAGGAAAGTTTTTTTCAGAGGTCTGAGCCACAAGGGCCGCTTGGAACCATTATGAAATGCTCAATATCAGGTTAGGAAGGCTTGTAAGGGGTGGGGGGTGGCATTCAGTTAAATTTTTAATTGTATTCCATGACTGTTGTGTGCTAATTGAAACCTCTTTATGCATGCTATGCCTTTTGATAGTGTGTGCCTCATGTTTTGTTGGCACAAGCAAATGTAGCTCCAGTTCAGGTCCGTAATTAATTTTTCTGTATGTGTCGTTCTTGTTACGAGTGGGAAGAGGATTGAAATTTACTTTGCATATTTAACTTCGCTATCAGCATTTAGGATCATTTTACTGCTAAACAGAATGAAAAAAGAGGTTCCCAGCTCTGTTACAGGGTTTTTACATGCTCATGAACAAAGATTTTATGCCTCGGTGACACAGGGCAGTTCAGTCCCTGATTGCAGTTCCTGGACAGAGTATAGCACTATAGCCAAATCCGTGTGATTAATCCTTTTGACTAGTATAGCAGACTGTAGAGTACTGCTGAATTTGCCTTATGTCATAGCTTGACATAAGTATAACCAAAAATCTTGTCAGATAACTAATGCTGCATTTTGCTTTGTATACCTGAAAGTTTATCACTTGGTAGTGTAAATTCTACTGTCTACCAAAGGTGTGAGCCTAGGAAACCGCTGCTCCATTCTGGATGTGGTCAGCACGAGAAGAGTCAGTTGCATATTGTAATGGAGACAACTCAACACATTCTGTGGGACCCGCATCCGTTTCATTCCATGAGAGGCAACTGTCAGGCTTAACTGTCTGGTTGTTGCTCTGGCAGTGATCATCCCAGTGAAGTACAACTCCAGCACTAGACTTAAAAATAACATCTTGTTTTCATTTCTTAAAAATGAAACAAACATCTTTTTAAAGCTTGTATGTATGAGTTGTATTGTTTTGCATTGCTGAGGCGCAGTAGCCTTGGACTGGGAGATCAGAGCTGACTTAGGCTCTCCTGTTTTCCCCCATCCTTAAGTCTGCAGCTTCCCCTGCAGCTTGGTGCAGCAGATCCAGTTAGCTGAAGTGTAAGAGGATTTCATTCCTGACGTAAAAGGCAATTTAAAAACTGCATGTTTTGCTATGAATAATCTTTTTCCCAAAGGGAGAGAATCCAAATCAAACCTTTTCACTTCAAGTGAAAAATAACCCACAGTTAAAATAGTCTAAAACTCGGTTTGTTTTTTCTCTAAAATACCTTACAAATGTGTGTATGAGGCAGCATTAATTCTGCTGCCCCACCTAGATTTCTTTAAAGTGAAATTATTGGTGAAACAAATGTTTACAGAAGTATAAAGAAGTGCAAAAATACATTTCTAAATCAGTTAAACAAAAATTAATACTAAAGGTTTGGCTATAAAACATCATAAAGAACAGAACTAACATTTTAAATATCTAGCACCACTTTAGATTTCATGTTGCTGAAGACTGACAGCCCATTCTCAGCAACTAATACTTCTCTGTTTAAAGTTAGTAACAGCAAAAATGACAAAAGGATAATTCAGTGAATCCCTCTTAAATTTGTGTGTACTCAGAAAAAAAATCTCTGATGAAACCCTTTGGTGTGTGAATATAAGAAGTAAGTTTGGTGCAGTATAGAAGCACTTTCAGCTCCAAGGATGACAGAGATCTTGGCCTGTTTTGATGAAGATAGCTAAAAATCAGAAAACTCAAAAAAGCTCCCTGTAGGCCATTTCCTTCTGGAAAAGATTTGTTGGCTTTAAATTGTTTCGTTCACAGTTCATGTTTTTAATAACCAGGAGAACAAGCAACTAGAGTAGTTCTCCTGCCTAAAAATAATCCTCTGTCACTTCCACTGCCAGGAATAAAGCATTCTTCCAGTGAAACCGTTTTCTAATTAATGCTTATTTAGATTAAAAATTTCTGAAGTGTTTTTTGCCTTTCCTTGTAATTTTGTGATATCATGTGGAATAAAACAGCGAGCTCTGCCTCTAGCACAGAGGCTGTGCCACGCTATTGATACAGGTTCCAGGAGCATTGGGATAGCAGGGGAACATGGAGAGAAACAAAATGTTGCAGTTCTGATGTGAATGACAAACACAAGAATGAGTCTCTCTGGCCTGCTTATATATAGCTGGACTTACCTGTGCTGCCAGCAATGTTGGCTTCCATTCATTTTGCAGCATTCTAGGCTGCCTGTAACTTCTCTGCTTCTTTAGAAGAGTGAAGTCCATTTAGCTGTTGGTTTGAGAGATCAGCAAGTTCAAGATTTGCTGTTTAATGCAATAAAAGCTCTCCCAACTGCTTTCTTGCTGGTAATACTGTGGGCACAGAAGTAAAGCTGAATATCAAAGGCTGCTGTGCTGACTTTTATGCCACAGAATTATGGTAATCACCAATCCTTATGGAAAGGTCTTTGGTTATTCCAATTGATTAAGAAGATTCAAGACTGGAAGTTAGAGACAACAGGGAGTTAATTTTACGTAAATACTTCCTTTCACTTGTTACTGTTGCTATGATGCACTTTTTTCTTTGGTAGCCAAATCCTTCAAGGGTGTTGGGTACTTTACTTTTAAAAACTGAGGCCTTTGAATGAGGAATATAGACTCGTAGGAATAATTACAACTTTCAGACTTTTACAGTTACATAGAAATAATTATGACTGTCTCCCTCTCTTTCTGTAGTTTTATTTCCTTTTCTCACCACTACCATTTTTAAGTGAAAGTAGGACTATTTCCCTAACAAACTGCCAAGAAAATTTAGTGAACTAAATGGCAGATGTTGTTTGCTTTTTTATCATTTTAGTCTTTTATTCTCATCCCTGATATAAGCCTCACTTGTCTTACAGTCCAGTTTATACTAATAATTTTTCCCTCGTCTTTTCTATAGTGTAGATATAATTTCTGTCTGTCTTTTTTTGTTTTTGCATTCTTCTTTTGAAGCAGTTATGCCATGTTATCACACTTACCTGTGCAGAGTATGGAAGCACTACAGACTGCAGGCCATGAGATACGGTGAGTTTCTTGCACTTTGGTATTTATTCAGAGTGGTGGGATCATAAAATTTCTCAGAAGGCCATTGCTTATGTCATTTTGGCTTTCAGCGTTTGGCAGTTCACTCCAAGAACAGCTTCCTGATTAAAAAGTGAAGTAAACTGATTGGATGATGTAATGGAGAAGCATAGAGGGGCATTAATGCAAGGACCATGTAGATCTTTGCACAGAACAATTCTCTCTTCCTTTTAACCATGTTGTGCCACAAATGAATTTGTGAAACTCTCAAAGTTTAATTCCTTACTTGAATGTGTGTCCTTTCTGCCCAAGTGGCTGGATGTTAGGTGCTCATGCTTCCTTCTATTCTTTTCCAGTGTTGGGATGGCAGATATAAAAGCTGTGTTTTAAGTTTATCTGTAAACAAAAAGTATGATATACTTTTGTATACAACAATAGTTGTGTCAAAGAAATTTGCTGGCAGAAAGGAGGGATTAATCCCTGTCTATCAGTAGGTGATAAATAGAGCTGTAAATGGTTTAGCTATAGGAGAAGGAAAAGAGCGTGTTTAAAATTACACGTTCAAGTCCTCTGGCAGTTTAGTTTGTGTCAGTATCAATATGGGCTGCAGCAGCTTTTGGCTGTGTGTGTGTGTAGTGGAGTTCTCACCTGGGCAATTTCTGTGCACTGTATTGCTTTTTATGCCCATACTGCAATTTAGGATCATCACCTGAGAGCATGCAATGCTGTTGCAGTATAAATTGAATATTAATCTATGTATGTTCCCTTCTTCCTCTGTTACAGTCTGGAAACTTTATTCCCTCTTCCATTCCCAAAGCCTCGCTCACTTCCAGAATCATTACCATCTCCCCCGAGGCTTCCAGCATCTGAGCTCCAGGTCCATGCCCTCAGTGAGGCTGATGCTTCTGTTCCAGCTCGTCTGAGATCCCAAGATGACACAGAACTGAAAAAAGTGAGTTTGTTTTGTATTTTAGATATCTCATGTATCTCTTGGTTCTCCAGAATTTGAAGCTGCTGCTGAATATTACCTAGTAACTGTTAGAGATGAGGAGGGAAAATTGACTGGCAGTCCTGGTCTGTGCTGCCGCTTGCTTTTATTCAAGCAGGAAGAAGGTGGCAAATCAGAGAGCAATGTTTATTCTCTAGATAACGTACCCTCAAGATAAAAGGGAATTCTGTTGATTAATATGGTCATAATTTCTTTAATTTTGACTTTTTTCCTTTTTTCTTTATTAAGACTGAGCCAGAAAAGAGGCCCAAGAAAGTCTCTCAGATCCGAATCAGGAAAACTGTTCCTAAGCCAGACACTAACCTCACTCCAATGGGACTACCCAAACCAAAAAGGTGAGCAGTATCTTTGAAATGGACTTGTGCTCAGTTCTGTTGCTCACATTTCCTGCATGACAATGCCATTTCAGTAAATGCTTCTCTTATCACCACTGAGTGACATCTGATGTTTGCCTTAGTTCAGTGGCAACGTGGCTGATCACAGTGCCATGTGTTGATAAAGCTCTTCCAATCAGTCACCCAATATTTGCTTCACATCTGTCTTTAACACCAGTGCCAGCTTTGACAAAGGGATGCATTTCTTGAGGGATTGGCTTGCTAATTGTCAATAACTAACTTTTTTAATGAGTGTCAAGAGATGAAGTGTTAATCTGCTAAACTGTAAGATTTTTCTTAGCTTCCACAGAAAAATAACCTGTGAAAGGATTTTCCCTTCTTTTGAGCGTACAGTCATAGAATGCTAGAAGGAATATTGACTTCTACAGAAAGGGCAAGTCTTGACCCAGACCTTACGAAAACACTGTATGAAATTAGATATGTAGTGAGCTCATTTTTCATCCCTCCCTCTTCTCAATTAGTTAAAGCATAATTGGTGTTTAGACATAGAGTGTAAACTGTGCTTGTTTCTCATCAGTCTGCTTGCTGTGAAAAGACGTGGCTTTGAAATTCTTCTTCTTTGATTGATTTGTCATTACTTTTTCAGGCTTAACAAGAAAGAATTTAGTTTAGAAGAAATTTACACAAACAAGAACTACAAGTCCCCTCCTCCTTCCAGGTTGGTTCTGCTTCCTTATGAGAAAACTAAGATAAATGTAAATTCCTTGGGCAGAAAGAGAGAGGAGATGAAAGGTGTCTGAAAGCCAAGAGAGGCACATTTTAAAAACTGCTCTAGGTTAAGGCGGTAGAGAAAGTTCATTCAAAAAACAGTAACTTGTACCATTGGGATGGAAAGCAGGGAAATAGAATATCAGCTAAGAATTTGCAGCTGGTTCAGTATGGATTTGTATATTTTTTCATCTAGCCATTTGTTCCAGCTTCCATCCAAGGACAGCACTTATTTTCTCAAAATTCAAAGGCAACTACATGTTCTTTAAAATGCTAAGAATAACTGCCTATCATCAAATGTTCAAACCTATTGATTCTAGAAAATCAGGACCATATAGTTGTGCTTTTAAAGTGAAATACAGATAGAAGAGATTCTGCCCAAATGTCTATGCAGCAGTAACAACTATAGCAGTGCTGTGCAGCTGTAGGTGTGAGCTGTCATAAGTACACTGAGAGGTGTGATGGGGCTGTAAAAATGTACAAGTTAGCAGAGTATTTCCTTGGGTTCTGAAATGCCCCAGTCTCCCTGGCTGTGTAAGGTGCCTGGCTACTCCCGAGTGTTCATGAGTTCTGTTCCTTTGCTTTTACCAGGAGCTTGGAAACAATCTTTGAAGAGCCCAAGGAGAAAAATGGACACTTAATCTCTGTCAGCCTGCAAAAGAGAAAGCGGATTTTGGAGTTTCAGGACTTTACTCTTCCCCGGAAGAGGAAGACACGAGGCAAAATCAAAGCTGTGGGTAGTTTTACCCGAGCGAAGAGAGCTGCACTGCAGAGTGCAGAGTTAGATGTTCTTCTGAGTCAGAAGCTAATGGACCTTGAAGCCTTTTTTGCAGAGGAAGTTGAGTAGGAGCAGGCCTGTGGCATCTGAGGGAGCCACTTAGCTGAAAATGGTCCAGTCACCTTCTTTAGTATTTTCCTCTCAAGAGAAATCTACTGACTTCATGCATCACTTTACCACTCTTCTAGTATCGGAGGATCAGTTTTTGGCTGTGACCCTCTTTAAGGTGCTACTTTATATTTTATTTTTTTACATGCTATTGGAGGGATTTTTTGGAGTCCCTCTTTGAGTGTAACACAGCCACATACAATTTACCATTCCTAATTCAACCTCTGGAAATTTCTGCTTATATTTAATTAAAGATTTTTAAACAGCTGGTGAGGGTAGAGTAGGAGTGTACCAGAAGAAGTAGTGCACCTTCAGTGATGCTAGAACTCTGTCCTCCAGATCATTTGCACATTTGAGTCTGCTGTCTTTACTGTAATGGCTATTTTGAACAACCTGACAGAAGGTATTTGACTAAGTGTTTGATACAGATGAATTCTTGCAAACACATTCTTAATATACCACTAACTTTTCAATAATTAAAAGTAGCTGTTTGGGTTTGTGTTCAATTGTTTCTTCCTTCTGTTAACATAGAAGGTTCCTTCTGAGTTTCTGAGCCCTTCCTGGCTTCAGGCAGCAGAAGCCCCACATAACCAGACTTTTAGTAACTTGCACTTTGTATATGTTTCTTTGTTTTGCTGCATGAGGACACCTTTTAACATGATGAACACAAAAAAAGTAATGTTTTAAGGGAAAATTATGCCCAGTACTACTTTTTCCCAAATAGTAGAGTTTTTACTTACTTGGCTGATGCCAACCTCTTCTCCAGAGGAAAAGGTAACTAGCCCATGATGCTGTTAAGCTGCAGGACACACAAGCAGAGATTTGTTATTTAACTGAGCTGAGCTGCTGCATGCAGGGAACACCAGCAAAATCAGAGAGACTCATTTTAAAGTTAATTTAATTCCATTCAAAGTACCAACTTGATTTTAATGTCAACAAGAAAAAATCTTCCTTCCCTCTTGAGGGTTTTTTTTTACCATTTTGGACTTTACATTCCTGTAGCTCATAATTAGCTATTCTCTGTACAGCACTGTTGTACATAACAGCCAGTGTTGCACAAAGAGCCTCCTGGCATGGGAGAATTTTTTTCACTATGTCAGGCCATTTGTAATTATCTGATGCAGCACTGGGCAATTTCTCAGCTCTACGTTTTGAAGCAGGAGAGCTCCTCTCTACAGAGAGAGTGATCAGGCATTGGAATGAGCTGCCCAGGTGGATTCACCATCCCTGGAGGTTTTCAAGATGAGACTGGATGTGGCACTTAGTGCCATGGTCTGGTAACCACAGTAGGGTTGGACTCAATGATCTTTGAGGTCTTTTCCAAACCGGTTGATCCTATGATTCTGGCATAACTTCTGTGAAACTTACTTGCAGCATAATTCCATGTGAATGCTAGCTGCAGTTCAGGTAATTTCTGTCCTTTAGTGCCTAGAGAAGTTATTCAGGCAACGCTGTCATTGCTGGATGCTCAAATTTAATTAGTCTGTCCTTTCACTTGTCACTTGAACTTGCACTTTCTTACTTACCTACCCATATATAACAGAGTTCCTATTTACCTTCAAATTGAGCAAATATCTAGTGGGTGGGTATTTTTTTATAAAATCCAATAGATGCAGGACTGAAAATAACACCATTACCTTCTATTGCTCTACCACTTCTGTTACTGACCAGACAGAAAACTCAAAATTAACAAGCAATCTGTTGATTTTTAGAGCTTTGAAAGTAGAGAAATAGAAGAGGATTATTACACTGTGAGTGCCTGAGGCTTGAAAGAAATCTAATCTGGGGTTTGCTCCCAGTTTATGTGCTGGGATTCCTAAGAGTTTATATTCTTGTTTAGAAGGTTAATTATCTTTCATCAGGAAGACTGAAGAAAAGAGAGGAGTGCACTCTTAGAGTAGTATTGTTGCAGTTTGAGGGTAAAATAGCAAGGCAGGCAAACTTTGAACATATTGACATACTATTTTTCTGATTAACCTATTTGGGCTGCTGTAAAACATTTTAAGTGATCCTGTTTATTTTTGTAAAAAGAAACCCCTAAAAGACAAAGGTTGACTTTGAAATCTTCCCTATACTGGTTTATTAGCCCAATTATTGACTGGTTGGAAGCAGTAGCAAGAGTGAGAGATATATTTTTATGGATTTATGCTATAGAATGGGATTGTACAGAGCATTCATTCACCTTCTGTTAATTTGGGAGGCTTCCAGTGCTGTGACACGATTGAGCTGTACACTTACTAGGGCCTTTAAGGAGGTATGGGTGGGGAGGGAAGAAACTTGGGTCCAGAAAAAGTTCTTTAATGTGCTTCAAAACCTTCCTTGGTTTGTTTTTTTCCTTTGGGTTATGTTGTTGTTTATATGTTTGCTTTGTTTTGGAAGGAGGTTTTTGTTTGCTTCCCTGTTCTGTCTTGTTTCTGGTTGCTTTGAAATAACATTTCTTAGCTTTCTTTCTACAAGCTGCAGCCGAGAGCAGAGCAAAGAAAGCACTCAATTCTCTTTTGTTTACAGTCATTGGAGGAGTTACAAAATCATGTTGCAGTTGCCTAGCTTGTCCCAGACCTTAGTTTGTGGAAACCCAAATACACAGCATTATTCCTGTTCGGTTTAGTGTGTGGATGATGATGTGAGCTAATGGAGACCAAGCATCTCTTCCCCCCTCCAGCATACAGGTGTCAGTCATGCTTGTGCACTTTTTCCTTCCCCACCTCTGTTCCTGTTTACAGCACTCATGGAGCAGCCTTGTTCCTTGTGGCTGCTGCTTGTACACTGGGAGTGATGACTGTGCAAAAGCTGAGTATTTGCTGCTCTGAGCTGCTTCTGCCACAGGTAATTGAAAGAAAAAGGAAAGACATTGTACAGAATGACTAGAACAGCTTGAGAAGGATTGCAAAGTTTTTGCCATGTCTTGTCTCTTAGTAGTAAGTTATGCAGAGCCAGGCAGCTCTTTGCTAAATTTGCTGATTATAGGAGATAGAAAGAGGTTGTTTTCATCATGCTATGACTGGAGCTGCTGAGGCTCCTTACTGTATGGTACAGCATTTGCCTGGCTGGCCTTGTGGCTGCATACATTTGAGTTCTGATGCTTGCTGGATTTGGTTTCCTGCAAGCAGTTCTCATTCGTTGGATTTGATTTCAGGTGAGCCTTTGGTATATTATGTTCCAGGTGCTTTTCTAAAATATGGATGGTAACTGTGGATTAAAAGTCTGTATGATGCTATCAAGGTAACAAATAGCTCAATGTTTGTGCCATTAGCCTCCATCATGCTCTTGGCAGTTTGTTTCTGTTCAATATTGTGTGAATTTAAAATTTCACTGTTTCTCTTGTGTGTGTTTTTAATTTATGGAAATAAATTTTTCTGAGAACCTTTCACTTTTTAAGGCCTTTAGGCTTGTATGGGTAACTGTGCATAATATGTCTTGCATAGATGGAGGAAAGAGGTCAATTCTCCAAAGAGGTTAACACTGTTAAGTAACAGGGTGGGCTGTTGGTGAGGCACAGAGCAGCAGTTCTAGTGTTCCTTCATCCATAGCCATACTTGAACAGGAACAGAAACCAACCTGGTGGATTTTAAGCATGATCCTAGCTACTATTCAAAGCATCAAGACAGCATTTCTCTCAAGATAGCAGAGTAGTGGGAGCTAGGCAGCACAGACAGTCCCTGCTCAGCTCAGAGCTGAGATTCAAGGCTGAAGCCACCAGTGGCTCATGTACTGCAGGCACTAAAAGTCATCATCTCACTGGTGCTTGTGAGTCACAGCTGGAGCACAGGAATATAAGAAAGACCCAATAAGATTTTGGAATATCTATGTCAGGGAATGACATCCCTGACCTTCCAACCTGTGAAATCTTGTGTATAACCCAGTGTTTCAGTTCGGCACTGTTCACTTCATGCTCTCTGCAAAGCTAAGCTGCCAGAAGCATTTTTTCATGGTGTTTTCAGAACTCCCGAAGTGCAGTGTTCCATGGGCCCCGCAGATGGCATGGAAGCTCCAGGAAAGACAGGCAGGGGCACCTCAGGGACCTAAACAAGCATCCTGCTCTTCCCCAGCTCCTTCAGGGCCCCAGCTCCCTGGCTTCAACAGTGGATGAGAATTTGGCTCTGTTACGTACTGGGACCTGCTTCATTCACCATTTAGCTCTGCCCTTTCTCTGAAAGGTGAAACAATTTGGACTTGTGTCCTCTCTGTCTTTTGATTAGTCAGTATCAAACAACGGTACAAATGAGATGGAGAACAGTCTCAGCTCAGATGCACAGAATCCAAGCCCCTTGCTACTGGGCAGAGTGCAAAGTTTTTCTTTGTCAGGAACAGAAAAGAGAGAGGAGAGGGGTGGCTCTAAGTCACACAGCAGGAAAGACAAGCTAGGCATGGAACAAACTGTTTAAACCAAGTATTTTTAGCAGCCCAATTTACAACTGAGTACTGCTGCCACATTGTTGTTTCTGGTGGAGGTTTCTTTTTTCCATTCTATGGCAGATACATTGATTTTAGTGCAGCTGATCTGTCTTCACTATTTGCATCTCATTTATTGCTAGCTGAGATTTATACAACTGCCACATAGGTTGCATGGACTGGAAGGTTTTGAGTGAAGAATTAACCCTTGCCTGGTTCAGAGTGCCTGGGAGCAGAAGGTGGTAACACTCTACAAACTGAAATGAGGCTTCTCATAAAGGACCACCTAATCTAAATCTGTATCTACTAAAGGCAGAGCAAATATGTGATACATTCTGTTCAGAAGGCTTCATACCATGTTCAGGCAGTTTCTGCTCATAAAACCAAAGCTGTTTAATTGATAAATCATGTTTTGACACTTCGTAGAATCTTAGATTCAAAGTGTCAAAGTGCTATACGGTAAAGGTTGGAGGTTTTTACAAGGATGAGTATCCATTGCTTTGTTCACCTTAAGGCTGCAAACATCCAGCTCTGCTGGCTATTAAATACCTTAATACATTAATTTGTGAGAGGAAAATGTTTCGATTTACTAGTAAAAATCCTTGGTTAAAAAGCAAATACATTCTTCCCAGTTAAAGGCAGAGAAGACCACTGACTGA